GCAGAATGAGGGAGGGAAGTAACCTGAAAAATCGATTCCACGATCGCTCGATATTTATTCCCGATCTGCCGAAAGTTTGAAATGGAAACCTTCTTTTTAAGAAAAAGTATAAAACAATAATAAGGTAGAACAAGCCTATTCGGATAAGTTAAGTGAATCTAATGGTAAAAAAAAAGATAGAAATCAAGTAGATCGAACTTCTAATTCTTCTAGAAAAAGGCAAAAGAGAAAAAGGGAACACTTTGGTGAATTGATAAATTACAGGACATCTCAAAAACGATGCAACTTATTTCATTGAAATCAAGCCACATGTCTTTCCATTCATGAAACTGGCCCTTTGTTGCTTCTTATTCCCTTTGAACATGCAGAGTGAAAAAAACGTAAATTCCAAGCAAGTGTGGCTGAAATAGGAAATTCACGGTCAATTATAATTGATGATAGCGTATGGAAAAAAAAAAAGCCGATCTACCTTTATTGACCCTTCAAACTCTAACCGAGCCTATTCAGTCAAAGTAAAGGGATCGTCAAGTGATGTCGGTTAAGGGGGCTCCTCCGGCTGGCGTGAATGAAGAAATTGTTCATAGGAATCCACGCTAGCGGTGGAGCCGTTGGGCGCGGCATCGTTGTGGTTCATCGACAACACGCGAGGGTTCGCCGTGTGGTTGGGCAGGCCTTCGACTCGCTCCTCCAGGTGAAGCGTCGAGTCGTGCGGGGCCGCCGGGGCCTGGTCCTCGCGTGGGAGGGTGTGGGCGCTGTCCAGACGCGAAGAGGCCAGGATGGACCCCGCAAATGGACCAGGAAGAGGGTTGGGAGGTAGAGGAGTGGGCCGCAGGACGGAATTCGTCGAATACTCAGGCAGGCGGGAGGTATTACATAAATGACGAAACTCGCCGAAGGCGGTATCGAAGAAGCTCTTGAGGACCTGAACCATCGAAATCACACTGCGATCCAAGGACTGGCGGCCTTTGAGGTAGAGCTGGGAGCAGAAAATCTTGTAATTCTCTGTGGCCCTCCACACCCCAATCCGCCAGTTCTCCAGGATCTGCTCATTACGGGGAATACGAGAAAAGTCCTTGGGCGGCTTTTCGCGCAAACGGTTGACCTTCGCCTTGAAAAAGTTATACTCGAGCCGATTGCGACGGCGTACATCCTCGAGGTTGTTGAGTTTTGCGCATTCTTTCGAGAAATGTGTGAGCAGATCGATACAATCGATCTGCATCCCTACACGATGCTCACTAGAAAGCGCAACAAGCTTGATACCTATTTCATAGACTCCCTCCGCAAGTTGTCGCGACTCAGCCGCCAAATCAGGTGATTGGCGGTGCTCCTCACCAATTTCCTTGAGTGTCTTTCCAAGATCCTCTAGCAACCTGATCGAACGGCTCAACTTTTCAGATATCGATCGACTTCGAGATGACATATCGGTCACCTTGCGTGAAACCTCTTCGATTAACGGGTCTTCGGGGTCCGCATCGACTCCAGAGACTTTTTCCTTCAGGCTCTGGGAGGTTCGACGCGCAAGCCCCTTAATAGTCTCCATCATAATAGTCTATTAACCCTCGCGCTAACCTTTTCGACCTAGTTTCCGTTTTCGAAACCGTAGTTATAATGAGTGATCTTATCAAGCTTCGAAATATATATTAAAAAAAAATGAAACGGTAAATTTTAAAATAATATTGAAAGGTATATCAATGATTTATAGATTTTTTTAAAAGGTTACAGAAGGAGGCGTATTTATCAAATAGCATGATATTAAGGGTCTTTTGAAAGACACATGCACCAACCTCTGATTAACAATCACCTAAAGCAAAAAAATTTCTAAATTCGACTCTAATTTTGAACTTTAATTTTCCAATTTCGGTATTCAACGTTATTCAATAATAAGCAATACCAGTACGAACACTAAGTGAACCCTAGCAAAAAAAATCTAATAAATGAATTATGGGTGTCTTCGATTGTCGTAGTAAAGTCCAGTAACCAGTAAGTACTGCAAATACGTTTGAAAATAGTTTAATTGCGTAAATTATAAAAAACTTTCTAAACGAATAGCTTCAAACCAAAATCAACTCGATAGAAGGGTAAATATTGTAAGGCTATGAGAATTCTTGGGGCATACAAGGATTTTGAATTGACTTACCAACCAAGTTTCCTGTTAACCCCAATGTTCTAGTATCGATGAAGAGACTTGTTTGATTTTTTTTTACTTTGATGAGAAAAGTATTAATATTAATCTATACACTTTTTAACTATTCTCTGTTTAAATAACGTTATGTTCTTTCTACAGAAACTCACCAGCTCTAATTCGAATGAATAATAATAATAATAATCCCTTTTACACGCGCTTAACAGAACCTAATGCGATTAGTCACCAGGACACAGAAAAAAAATTATGTGTACCAAATTTAATCGAATAGACGATTAAGAGATCGGAATGAAATTTATAACGATAACAATAGAAAGATAGTGATCTAAAAAAATTAAAGATTAGTAGTCGGGGTTATTAAGATCGCAATTTTCAGAAAGTATGAATTCTCCCTGACCGACACATTTATTCTCCTTCCAATTTCCTATGTAGATGGATCCATCCTTGAGGATGATTCGTCCTTTACCCTCTTTTTTGCCATTCACCCAGCTGCCCTCGTAGCTTGAGCCGTCAGGCAGGAGCAACTGACCCTCACCGTGGCGTAGGTCATTCATCCATGTTCCCTCGTAGCGGCAACCGTTGGCATATTCCAGCACACCGTATCCGTTGGCTCTGTCGTTATCCCACTCCCCCTCGTACGTATCCTTATTGCTATACGCGAGGATGCCGTGGCCCTGCTTCCTTCCTTGATACCACTCCCCCGTGTAGCGATCACCTTGCAGATAAGTGAGCGTTCCAGTCCCGTGGGCCTTATCACCTAGCCAATACCCTTCATAGTGCTCGCCATTGACGTACGTTAGGATACCGTAGCCCTGCTTGACATCCTCGACCCACTCCCCCTCGTACTTATTACCATTAGAAAAGATATAAGTGCCTTTACCGTGCATCTTGCCATCCTGCCACTCGCCCTCGTAAACGCCACCATCGGCATAGTAGTACTTACCCCAGCCTTGCATATTCCCCTCCACCCAGTTCCCCTCGTACTTCTCCGACACCCGGCCGTCAGGGGCGGCGTAGGTCACCATTCCCTTTCCATGGCGCTTATCCTCCTTCCACTCCCCCTCATAGCAATCACCGTTGGAGTAGTGGTAAGTGCCCATGCCGTGCATTTGACCGTCCTTCCAGTCTCCTTTATAGACATCTCCGTCGGCATAAACAAGGGAACCACGGCCATTTATCCGGCCAAAAGTCCAATTTCCTGTATACACATTGCCGCTGGCATAATGGCAGGTTCCCTTTCCATGCACCTTATCCTCCAGCCATTCCCCTTCATAACGGCTCCCATCCGCGTAGCTGTACACGCCGTGGCCGTGGCGTTTCCCGTACACCCAATCCCCTTCGTATTTTTCCTTGTTGGGATAAATAAGAAGACCGCGGCCATGCATCTGGCCATTTTCAATTTCGCCAGTGTACATCATTTCCCTTACAAGTGTCTATCTATCTATATGGATTAAACCCCCTAAAACACCTGTGTATGGTGTGTTGGATGAAATCTCACATAGACACATAAAAAAAAGAAGAAGATTAAAAATGGGTATTACATAGGTTAACTAAGATAGAATGGTCAGCATCTCAACATGCAGATTCATTTATTATTGATTATTTCCGCTATTGAGAATGACATGAATGGAAAACAGCCGTTTCCATCACTTAAATGCATTCCGATAAATTCGCTTTCAGACATATCGTCATTTAAAAAGATTCCCATCATGAAAACAAAAAATCACAGTATAGACGGGTAAGAAACATGCACTTGAAAAATTCAGGTATAGTAAGAGAATGATATGTATCTCTCTTGGTTCAATTCAGATAGATTTAAATTGCTTATGCTTCATTAATATCCGAAGCCTAAAATTCAAAATAAGCTATTAAAATATTACGTGTAGAGATTGCTTCTATCGAACTCAGACACAGAAAGTCTTCAAGCACGTTAAAACCAAGATTATCTCATATTCATTCAGTTCCATCCCAAGTATATAATTTTGTAATACATTCTTCATTTTTTCAGAGTTTACGCTTACTTGTAGATTGGGAACACGGATAAAGTTCACGATGAAAATTAAATAATCCGAGAGTACGTTTTACCTTTCCAGCATCCGTATTTCTATTACAATATCAGAAAAAGGTTACCATAGTGGATGAAAAACAAATAAAACATAACAAGAACGCTACTAAGTAGACGGCCTTACCTCGGTCCCCCTTCCATCTCACCGGATTCATCATTCTCTTCTTCCCCTAAGTGATGCAATTGAGCAGCGAGCTGCTCCAATAAGGCGGGTGGGACGCCACCATTCTCGAAAAGGATATTCGCTGCTATTTCTTGATTTCGCTGCGTAGCAATATAGACCATTAGTGCGCTTTGCTCATCCCACATCCCTCCACCAAGTTCCACGAGTTGGCGAACAGCCGCTCGGTCCGATTCCGTGATCCGTATCTCCACAGGAAGGGTGTCCATAGGGTTGCGGTCATCGGCCGTGGTGATAGGATTCCCTGGTTGGCCTGCGGTCTCGTTCATAATCCGTAAGAATTCCTCTTGATTCAGCTCGATGAGCTGAAAAATATTCGGATAACGATCTCTAATTTGCTGAATCACCACTGGCAAGCTTTCCTGGTTGCTCTGAAAAACGGCGCGGATGTCGTCGAAGTGTGGGATGGTCCACAAGGCGGCGCGCAGATCGGAGGATCCGGGCTCGGGCTGCACCCTCGAAACCGCCTGGAGCGCCGTGGAAGGAGGGGGGGGCTCGGACGTCGTCGAGGTCGGCGCGGGGGCGGTTTGGTCGGGTGGGCTGAGAGTCCTTAGCAGGCCAGGGGGAATCCCCGTGCATAGGTACTCGACCGCGCGATCCGGGTTTAAATAGGCGGCCCGCAGGGCAAGGGCGACCTGCGCCCGGTCCTCAAAGCCCATCGCGACGATTCCGTCAATGAGGCTGCTGTTGATATCGCTGGTCGAATCGGGGGTGGCCCCGGACAAGGGGGTGGAGGCCGGAGGGGTAGGGGGAGGGGGGGAGGGCTGCCCTTCCGCCGAATCCCCCGAAGGTGGCTGAGGCTCGGTGCATGCGGACGCCGTTGCCCTGCTGGCCGTCGACAACACCGATGGGGGGGAGGGAAGGGGTTTAGGGATGCTGCGCTTCTTCCCCGCGATGATCAGTGTGTCATTCTCAGCTATTTTGGCCTCCTGAACACTTAAGGTGTCCGCAAGAATGTCACCTTTGAAACATAATCGAAGTGTGCTCATGTCGTATTCAGCCTCTAGGGTCTTTTTGATCTCAAGAACAGTGGTGGCCTCTGACACTTCCAGATCTTGTAATTTTCCTGTTATGGATTTCAAAATTATTTTCATTTCGTTTAAGATTTTTGGGGAGAGTGAGAGGAGGAACTACTTTCTGAAACGGTTGATATGAAGATGTTTCCTTCTTGAAGGGAAAGATATTGAAAACGAAAAAAATAAGTAAAAAAGAAACTATACTGATGAGAGATATAGTTTGGGTCTGTGATTTTGACTTCAACAGGGGAAGTCAATAAAAGAAGGATATAAAGAGAAGACGATAGGTTTCACTCAAATAATATTTATACTACACCGATCCGCGTAAACACCAAAGAGAACGGATTAGTCCTGTTGCATGCATCGCCCCATTAAAATCCTGGTTGTAGATGGAAAAAAATACTGTACATAGTCCGCTATGATGTCGAAATTTATGTAAGATGACTAAATAAACCACTTACGCTTAACAGAAGAGGAATTGACCTATCTGTTAGACGCCTCATAGCTCTTTAGCATGCAAAATCAGGTGAAATGTGGTTCAGAGCCTCTAGATATAGTTTGCAGACGTGTGTGGAAAGGTCTAAACATCTATTGGACCCTTATCAATGCTGGAACTAGCAAACTATCTGAAGAATACATTTTCTAGTGCTGTTATTCTTTGATGAGTGCAAAAAAAAGTTCAGAGGAAGCAGGATATCGCCATTAAAAGATATAAGCAACTTATGTGCTTGAGCTGCAAATATAACTTCAAAAAACGCTGTTGTTAGATTTTTCCCTTGATCCCTGTTGATGAAGAACACGTCTGGAATGTTCTTTGGAGCTTTTTTATAGTGTCCAGTTGTTGCTTCTTCTCACGTCGGCTGCGCTCCCGCAGTATGGTTTCAAAGGCTGGATTTTTGGAATTGGTCATGCTCTTGGCGAGGGAGTGGTGCTCCAAAACGTATAAGAGGTAAGTGTCACCGAATCGCACCACCTGCCCATCTACATGGTAACGGACGATGCTGGAAGGGCTTTCTTTCTGAAATGCACAAAGCACCTGCTCGCCTGCATCAGTTTGCATCCAAATCGGGTTATGGAAGCGCTCGAAGAGATGCCGCGGTATAGGTTGGGTTTTAGTTTCAGCTCTTATCCCTTGGAAGAAAGTCAAACGACCCACATCCTCCTCCTTAAGCTCGCCGATATTTACTACTGAAATGGACGAACAAGCCTCGATACGCTTATTCGGCAGATTTACCTGTTCAGATGTAACGTGCTGGTTAACAGAACTTTTGTACTCGTCTCGACCAAAAATATCTATTAGGGATAGAGTTGATCCGAATGTACGTTCCAAAGCTATCAGACTTTCGGCGGTAGGGAATAGATTCCTTTCGAACGCCTCGCGAAGGGTGAGGCACTGCCTCAGTTGGTGCAACTTATGGATGCATTCGAGGCAGTCCTGCGAAAGGGCATGGTGCAGCAAATAAAGCGGCTCAGCTTTCAGATCCAAAAGTGATTTGCTAATCCGAATGCGATGAATACGACCGCCACAACCTCCACCAGCCTCATCGATATCTAAGTCAGCCACCGAAAAGGTGGACCTCTTCGTAGTCGATGGGTGTGTTATCTCAAAAGGAGTTTCGGCATCGGAATGTTCACCAGCGTGACCCCCTGGGGGGGTAACAAGCGGTGGGTAGTGGTGATAATACCGCATCGGCACAAAAAGCTCTGAGTTCATCCAGAACTTAACATCGCCAGTGCCTCCCGACGCTGCATAAAGCGCACGTGTGATTTGGTGAAGCTCGCCTACGGGGCCCTCCAAGCACACAAAATGAAGTTCTCCATCAACTACCTCAAAGCCACTAATGCCTGGCGGTGTCACCACCTTGAAGGGCTGCTCAAACGGTGTAGGTTTGCTCAATGACGTCATCCCCTGGCCGATGGAATTTTCCGATTTGTCAGCTTCTGGTGACTTGCGGTTTCGCTGGTCAACCACAAGAGAAACCTTTGAAATTCGTGTGCCTTCACTTTTGGAGTCGTCTCCATCGGCCGACGTCTCGGGAAGGAAAGGCGACGGCTGGTATAATGCGACATTGCCCTGGCGTCCGGCCCTCTTGGAGTTGAGCAACTCACGGACCATCGCATCCAATAAAACCGGGATACATGGGGCCGCATAGGGGACTGCCATCATGCTGCGTGATAAGAACTGAGCGACTGCCGGCTCACCACACTCGTCGACGTGCTGCAGCGTCGGCAACGGGATAAAGAAGTTGAGCTTCAGCCTCACCGCACACCCGGCGGTGAGACAGTTCTCCGTGTGGAAGGAAAAGCTAGCGCGGGAGGGCAACAAGGGCACGTCCGTGTCAAAAT